TTCCTTCCCCCCTCCCCTCCCTTCCTTCTTCCCTTTCCTTCCCTCCCTCCTTCCATTTTTCCTTCCTTTTTTCCCTCCTTCCCCTTCCTCTTTCCTTCCTTCCCTCCTTTTTCTTTCCCTTCATTCCCTCCCTCCTTCTTTCTTCCTCTCCTCCTTCCTTTCCACCTTCCCTTTCCTTTCTTCCCTCCCTCTCCCTCTTCCCTCCCTCCCTCCTTCCTGCCTTCCTTTCCCTCCCTTCCTTCTTTCCTTCCCTCCTTCCTTCCCCTTCCCCTCCCTCTTTCCTTTTCCACCTTTTCTCCTCCCTTCCCCTCCCTCTTCCCTTCTTCCCTCCTTTCTCTCCTTCCCTCCATTTTTCCTTTCCTTCCTCCCTTCTCCCTCCCTCCCTCCTCCCTCCCTCCAGCCTGGTTTTCGGGACTGCCTCTGGGGGGCCCCCTCCCCAGCCCAGCGTGGGTGGGGTCACCCCCATGACCCCCATGACCCCCGGGTTGTTTATTTCTCACTCAGACTTCCGACCCTGCGACCCCACGGCCTCGCGACCCCGCGACCCGACAAGAAGCAACATTGTGTCCCCCGTCCAGTCGGGGTTCTGGGGTTCGTGGCCCCCAGGCTGGGGTCTCTGACCTCCTGCTCCTTCCTGTGAACTCATGACCCCCTGGGGGACACTGGGGGTCAGGGGCTCCCACGGTCCCCAGGGGGGTAACGGTGCGGGCAGCAGGTTGGGGGGTTTGGGGGGGTTGGGGGAGTTGGTGGGGTTAGGGGGGCTCACTGGTCAGACCCTTGTTCGGGGGGGGGACGCTGCCGGCTGCGGTTGATCAGGAAAATGCACCCCGGTCCTGGCTGCTGCCAGAAAGGACAGCGTTTTGGCTTTTGCTTTCCAGTCCTGGGACTTGAACTCAGGGCCTGCGCCCTGTCCCTGAGCTTCTCTGGCCCAAGGCGGGCGCTCTACCACAGCGCCACGTGCGGCTTTTTCTGTCTGTGGTGCTGAGGACTCGAACCCAGGGCTTCCTGCGTGCGAGGCGAGCACTGTACCCCGGAGCCACCTGCCCAGCCCCCATTTTCTTAAAGACACGCCTCCCCCCATCACCACCGCGGTCCACACCAACCACCCACGAGCTGAGCAGTGGCCCCCGCCTGCCATCCCAGCCACTCAGGAGGCTGAGATCAGAGGATCGCGGTTCAAAGCCAGCCCGGGCAGGAAAGTCCCTGAGACTCTGATCTCCCACGAACCACCACCAAACAACAACAACAACAACAATAATAATAATAAAGCCAAAAATGCAGCCGTGTGGCTCAGGAGGAAGAGCGCCAGCCTGGGGTGGAGGAGCTCAGGGATGGCGCCCAGGCCCCGAGTTCAAGTCCCAGGACGGGAGTGAAACCCGGGGTTCTCTGCCCCCCCCGACTCTGCTCCCCGCCCCCCGCCGACCCCCACGCTCTCAGCCGAAGCCTGTGGGCCTCACCCGTGGCACACAGCGCGATGAAGGTCTGCGCGTGCTTGCGGATGCGCGCCAGCGTCTCGGGCTGCTGGGGAAGCTTCCGGAGAATGTGCTCCACGAAGTCGTGCGGGGTGACGGCCGCCAAGTTCCACTTCAGCTTCCCCAGCACCACCAGCTCCCACTCCTGGGTACAGAGACGGAGAGAATGCCAACCTGAAAACCCCTCTCTGGCAGATGCCGCCGCCGCCGCCGGGCGCCGGCCCTCACGCCTGTAATCCCAGCCGCTCTGCTCCAAAGCCCGAGATCTGAGGATGGAGACTTGAAGCCAGCCAGGCCCCCCCCCCCTCGGTGAGACTCCTTGATCTCCAGCTTAACGAGCAAAAAGTCCCAAGTGGAGGTGTGGCTCAAGGGGTAGAGCACCACCATCAGCCTTGAGCAGAGTTCAAGCCCCAGGACCCGCACACACTGTTGATCCAGGGTTCAGCTGGGACTTGAGACCCAGATCAATTGTTGGGGCTCTCAGTAGATGGATCTCACCCACGTACCCCGAGAGCTGTGAAGCTGGTGGGGGGGCCCGGCCCCGGGCTCTCTCATACTTCCAAAGGATTCAAGTTTGCTTCTGCCTGAACCTCCACGACCTTCTCTAGGCCTGAACTCAGGGCCCTGAACTCTTGTTTTGCTTTTTCAGTCAAGGCTGGTGCTCAACCATTGGGGGGTGGGGGTGGAGGTTTGATTGTGGGTCTTGAACTCAGGGCCTGGTCACTGTCCCTCAGCTCTTCAGCTCAAGGCGGGCGCTCTACCACTTGAGCCACAGCCCCACTTCTGGTTTTCTGGTGGTTCATGGGAGATCAGAGTCTCACAGACTTTCCTGCCCAGGCTGGCTTTGAACCGTGATCCTCAGCTCTCAGCCTCCTGAGGAGCTGGGTGACAGGCGGGAGCCACTGGGCCCAGCTAGAATTTTTCTTTCTGCACCAACTTTGAAGTCGGCGCCGGTTTAGAAAAACACAAAACAAACGCTCCCTCTTGAGGGACCGGGAACATTCCAGCCTCTTTGAAGATGGCTGGAGTGGGAACGTTTCCCAAGCCAGCCCTGGCTCGGAGCATCAAGGACGCGGATCTTTCCAGAAGCAAGCAGGCAAAGCACCTTTTCCCCGGGGGATGGGAGGGATCTGTGGGTCTCAGAACAAACCAGAAAGGCCTAGAAACCTGGCAAGCGGTTCAGAGCTCAGAACTGAACTTCCCAGGCCCGGATCTCCCGCCTCGCGGCCATGCGCACGGCCACCACCAGAGGGCAGCACACGGCCAGGTATCACAAAGCGCAGGCCAAGAAACTGAGGCACGCGTGCGTGTGTGTGTGTGGGTGTGTGTGTGTGTGAAGGGAAAAGGGGGGTCTTCCTACTAAGCAAAGAGGGGTGCAAAGCCTTTGAAGATGAGGAAAACTCCACCACCATGCATCCTGCACAAAAAGTTAACAAAGAAAGAATAATGGGGGGGGGAGATTCCTGAACTCCCTCACCCTCCCCATTCCTGGGGGGGGACCAAGAACCCCCTTCTCCCCCCCTTGGGGTCCCCACCTGAGTTAGGAATCTAGGCCTTAGATGCCTCGATTATTAAAAAAACACGATGCCCTCATTTTTGACATGGCTCCCAAATCGATCACGTGGGTATCTTTAATGATCATCTACTATTAACATGGGGGGGTCCGCAAAGGGGGTTCACGGTGGCGGCCACTTTTGGGGTTCTGAGGAGAGCGTCCACCTTGCTTGGCAGGTCAGCTCTGCTCTTGGGGCGTGACACACACACACACACACACACACACACACGTGGCAGTGAGACTCGCAGGGAACTTTAAGAAAGCAGAGTTCCTTCTGGGAATGGCCCGAGGTCTGGTGTGTGGAGATGTCGGGGTGCACAGCCAGGGAGGGGGTGTGTGGTAAGGGCAGGCTGGAGGAGGAGGGGAGTGGGGAGGCCGGGGGAGGGAGGCCCGAGGCCGGAGGCCCAGGTCCTTACCAGGAGCTCGTGGGGGGTCACGGTGTTGTCGGTGTAGACGCACAGCTTCTCGGCCGTCAGCGGGCTGCTCTCCTTTAGCTTGGAGGCCAGGAACATACACACGGCCCCCAGCAGCTGCAGGTGGGTCTTGAGGGTGGGGACCCCCGCCAGGAAGCGGTCCAGGTAGTTCATGGCCAAGGAGAAGACCTCTTCCTCGCACTTCTGCTCCTCACAGACCTGGGGGGGACGGGGGACGGGCCAAGGGGTGAACACAGCCCCCCGAAGCACGCTGGAAGGATTCCTACCTGCTAATCATAATCTCGCATCACTTAATGAACAGGTTTGGGGGTTTTATTTGTGGGGGGAGGAGGAGAAAAGTGGGGGTGCATGCGTGCACCCAGATCTTCCTGGGGGGCCTATGATTTTTCACTGGGAGATCTCAAAGTAGGGGGGGACCCTCAGGCTCCCACACCCGGGGTCCCCCCTCACCCCACCCCCCCAGGCTCCAGGCCCTGCCATGCTCTGAATTTGTCGATTTTGGGGGGGATTTTGTCATCTTTTCCAACAAGTCAACAGAAAATATTCGGGGGCCCCCGGGGAGGGTGCCTTGGTCTCCCTCGAACCCCCAGACCCTGTTCTGTCATTGCCGACCATGCCAGAGGGGAGTCCCCTCGGCCTAGGGGGTGGATTTGGGGGTGCAGGGTGGAGAGAGGGGGGAAGGGAGGAGAGGAAGCACGTGGGTTGGGGGAAGACCCAGTTTCAAAACCATAACCCCAAATCGAGGAAATGCCCCCCGGATGCCACTCGGGCCTGAAAACCCCAAGGGGGACCCCGCTCCCCGCCAGCGTCCGGCCCTGGGGGCGCCCTGCACCGTGGGGGGCTCCACCTCGGCCCAGATGGGCAGAGCTGAGGTGGAGGGGGCCCCCAATCTCGGGGCGAGCGGTTGGGGGCCCCCAGAAAGGGGCACCCGGGATCTCTGGTTTGGGGGTACCCATCGTCTCCCCATCTCTAAGCTGACGATCTTGGGGAGCCGCACGGCACGAGCTCGGGGGTGGGGGCCGGGGATAATGGGGTGCTTGGGGGGGCGGCCGGGAAGGGGCGGGGAGGGGTCCCCGCCAGGCGCGGCCTCGTGGCGGGAGGGGCCGGAGAGGCCAGAAGAGGTGTCTGCGGGAGGGGCGCCCCCGGGGTCCCCGATCTCGGGCCGGGGTCCCCCCAGTCCCCCGATCCCGGGCCGGGGTCCCCCCAGGCCGCCCCCCGATCTC